ACCTCAAACTTCAAGTTAGTGAGCGCTCAATAAACACTCATCGCCGAAACTCCCCCCATCCCCCACGCCGTTCTACCTTTTAAAGAGCAGATCCTGAGTTGGATTCATCTCATCCTTGGGGAGGCAGGAAAGTGCCGGGGGAGCCTGTGGACTCAGCCACACACAGGCCTGGTGTTGCTGCAACCTTGACCTGCGGGCTCCTTTCACGTGCGCCAGCCCGCCTTGTGGGCTTATACAGAGCATGTGTGCAAAGCATCTGCTACGTAAAGGTCCTCTTTCCCCCTCTCATCTTTCCAACAAGTGTGAGAGCTAGCAATGATTATGAACACCTCTTTTTTATAGACAGGGAGACTGGGGCCACAGGGGGAAAGGTTCAATATAGGTCACCAAGCAAAGGAGTGGCTTGGGGTCTGACCAAGGGTCATAGCCAGGACAGCGGGCATCTCAAGACTCCTGGCCTTCAGCGCCGCGAAGTTGGGACAATAACTATTTATCCAGCGCTGACTGGGGCCCCATACCTGTCTGTGGGAACGAGCACTTGGGGAGCCCGGGGAGACCATGACTCGCTGGCCCCAACTTGCTTAGATTCCGGTACTGGAGTACCCAGGAGGGCTCCAGGGCTAGGATACGGGAGCTGCAACCCCAACTCCAGATCAAGCCAACCACTTTCAGGGTCTCCCTCTCTCCAGGTTCAACCCCAGGGAACAACCTCCAAGAAGCCTCATGTCCTGCCCCCGACCCCTCCCCCTGTCCTTCATCACTGCATGTCACCACTACCTGGGCCTCCTACCTTGTGGTCTGGAGTCTTCATCTGAATCCCACAGAGTGAAGGTCCCTGGGGTCCTTCACTAATGTGGAGTCCTCCAGCCATGGAACCAGTTTGGGCAAAGGACAGCATTCTCTCGCTGTGGGCCCTCTGCTCGAGGGCCACGGAAATCCCAGAGACTGAGCCCTGTACAGATAACAGTCTTTCCCCCAAATGGGCCTTGCTGGTCTTCCTGCTCCCCCTGCTGGCCGCACTTGTCTCTGCCCTCTGTCCCACATCGTCCCAGCCCCCCCAAGGAGGACACCACTCCCTGTCCTCCCTGTCACCGCGCCAGGCTGGAGTAGGGGTTCCTCTCCTGTACGGTGGTGAGAACCAGGGCTGCTGTCTTGCTGGGCCCCCCAATGCCCGAGTCCCAGGAAAGAGCTACTGCTCCCCTGCACCCAGCACATGCCTGCGTGTGGACGCGCTCATCAAATCTCTGCAGAAGGAATGAGAAGTGGGGAGGTGTGAGCCCAGGGAGGACAAAGCAGTGGCCCAAGGTCATGTGGCTGGGGAAGTGTGACAACCGGTCTGAGTGGGTGGTGTGTCCTCAGAGGCCCGTGTAGGAGAGGGTGTGCGGGCACAGGAGATGAGGGTGTGTGTGCCAGCTGGAAGAGCAAGCTGGGGTCTGCAAGTGGGTTGTGTTCTGTCCTTTCTCCCAGAGCTCCTACCGTGACCCCCGCCTGCCTGTCCCCAAGGCCCCTGGGGAGCCCCATCGCCCCAGGACACAGGGCTGAGGGAGCACAGGAATGCCAGGCAGGGGTTTTCAAAGACATATCTCCACACAGTGGCACTCAAAGAGATCAAAATGCATTTAATGTGGTCTAGTCTCGTGGCCTATGTCTTTAGATACCGCTATGTATTGAAAATAACATGAAAATTCTCCAGTTTCACCATTTAAAATAGATTTGACATTCTATGACCTCACGCAGGGCAGACACCCCTGTGCAGGGGCCTCCTTCCCATCAGGCCCCGCTCCCGCCCTCCCTGGCCCCTGCCGGGACCCTCAGGCAGGCGGGCACGGGGCGGCACAGCACCAGCGGGGCACGGGGGGGCGGCCAGCATGTTCCTAGCAGCACGCACGAGAGCGTGCACAGACACACCATTTCCACTGACATCCGTGTGCACACACCCCTGGGACCTGCACTTGCTCACACATGCCCACACATGCTGCCCTCAGCAGGCAAGTGCCAGCCCTGCTCACAGAGCCTGGCCCAGTTGCCAGCAAATGCACCACCTGCGCACATGGCTTCGCTGGGACAAAGGCACACACATATATGCCAGCCTTCGAGGCCGTGTACTCTCACACACACGAAGACACTGCCTCGCGTCCGGGTCCACAGAGCCTCTGGCACGCACATTCCACACATTCTCATATGCACACAATTGGGGCGATGGGCCCGCAGGACTATTGGGTTCAGCTGTGCCAGCACCTGGAGTGGCATCCTCCCCAGGCTGGGGAGACTGGCAAACAGTTAAACCAATGCCCGCGTGTAAAACGCACACCCACAAACACACCTATGGGTAAATATACACATGGCTCTGTGTGTGTGTCTACACAGACACACGTACATACCACGTATGTATATCATCAGCCCAGATTCACAGACGTATGGAGATTGTCATGTGCACACACCCGTACAACACTCCCACGGACGGGGGGAACTCGCACACTCATGCACTCAGGCAAAGCCATAGCTGCACACAATTGCTTGAACAGACATGAGATGAGATGACTGCCCACGTCAATCCCCACACCTGGTGCTCACACACTCACACTCACGCGCACAGTGCCAGCATGGCCTCTTTCCCACACAAGCAGCTCAGTGTCTCAGGCACAAAGGCGTCAGAGGCCACGTTCTTGGCCAACTTCAACCCCCACACCTCCTAGTTCAGGCTGCCAAGAAACTCCATGGAGGTCTCAGTGCCTGGGAAGGCAAGAGAGGGACTGGACTGGGACACACACCAGCCCGGCACACAGACCGCAAATACACGTGCACAAACATTCCCCACTCACCTGTGCTCGGCACACGTACCATGCATGGCATGTGGGACACTCAGAGGGTTAACGTGCTCTCCACACACCACACACATGCACAAACATGGGTAAACACACACACACACACACACACACACACACACACCCTGGCACACACTCCCCAGGGACCACGTAATCCTTGCTCTGCACACACATGGCTCCTCCCATCCACCCTCCCGTTTCAAGTGCACTAAAGAGGGAGACTATTTTGGTCTTTAGCACAAGCAATAAATAAATAAATAAATATAGGGAAGAAAAAAAAGAGGGCAGAAGAGTTTGAAAACGTGGAGTCTGCCTTTGGTGAGAGATGAAAGGCAGATCAGGGCTGCTCTCCCGCAGGGTCTGGGGCTGAACCATCTAGTGTGAGCCTGGGAGGGGGGCAGGCCTGACAGGAGGTGCACCAAGCCGAGGGGGCTGGGGCCTTGGGGCCCTGTTCCGGATGGTGGGAGTGAAGCCTGGCCCAGCCGGCCCGGAAGGATCTCCAGCTGCTGGGCAGAGCCGAATGCAGGCTCCTATGCCAGCCCCGAGTGACGGGGCCCCCTCGTCCCACCCTGGCTCAGCCTGACAATTTGGATGGGGGTGGGCAGGTAAGCCCTCACACATCAACTCCACCCTTGCCCCCCAGGGCTCAAATGGAGAAAGTCAGCTCTGGAAGCCGGGCCTTGGGCTGGGAAGGAGCTGAGGCCCTTCCAGCAGATCCTGAGAGGAAAGAGAGGTGTCCATGGACTGAATCATCCCAGCCAGAAACTCGGGTGGGGCCTGAGGCTAGGCCAGGATGCTGGGAGTCAGGCATACATCAGGGCACGAGCCCAGAGTGTCTACGGGTGGGCAGCGACAGCTCGTGCCCAGACCCTCCACGGCTCCTGATGGCTGGCCAGGTCTCCAGCTTCCCTGGGGGCTGGAGGAGGGAGAGGCAAGGGCCTCTCCCTGCCTCCTTGGACCCTCCCACTCACCAGCTGACCTTGCACTCTACCTCAGTTTCCCCACTTGGGCTGGAGTCCTTGGTGCCTAGCTGTCTTGGGGACACAGATTGGCATGGTCTAGACAGGCAGGCTGGGGAGACACACACGGGCTTTCGAATTAAGGACTTCCTTCCAGGCCTGGTTATTTGGGAGGACAACATTCTCAGCTGTCCTGGGAAGGGCCCCAGCTCCATTCCTGCCTTCTGGGTCCTCTGCCAAGAGCAAGGCCACACTGGGCAGCCCCTGGTCCAGGGGCCTGCTCTGGGCCAACAGAGCCCAAAGTTCCAAACCTCTTCCTGACGAGGGAGCCTGGATGCATGTGCCACCCCTGTCATCTCTGCTGATGGTGCCACACCTTTTCTACGATGATTCCTCTGCCGTTCAGCCGCAGAGCACAGTCTGGCTGGGACCCAACTGGGCTCACCTGTGCGGCCCCAGTTGTGCAGAGAGCGCCAGGCCGGCCCAGCCTCCGCAGACAGATAGCCTGGTGGGGACTTCACGGTGGAGACAGGGGTGGCTGGGAGGACGGGCGAGTCTGATAAAAACAGAAGCAACTGGAGCTGGCCCCCCCGGGTCTCTAAGGCACGACTCACTGGGATCCCGTGGGAATGGGGCTGATCTGCTTCCTTGTCATCTGTGAACCTGGGCTCCCTTCCCACGGAGCCATCTACTCCAAGTGTCCCTCACTGTGGAAGGGGTGGAGGCTACTGGGCAGAAAAGGAGAGAGAAGTAAAACGGAAATCTGGTGGGTGGGGGGAGAGCGGACCCTCCGCAGCAGGCAGAGCCCACATCCAGCCCTGAGACGCACCTCTAAGGTACAAAAGTCAAACTCAAAAAGCTCAAACTAGTTTTTTCCCAGCCCCTACCCCCACCTCTATGACACTGGAAAGCTTTTATTGTGATTGTTAACATGGTCTTGGTTTTCTATCACAAACAGCATCTGATGCACCCGTGAGCGGAGACCACGGGTGAGCACCGCACCCGCCCCTGAGGGCGCGCCGCCTGGCACACAGCCACCTTCACAGAGGAGAGGCCTGCTCAGCCTCGGGGAACCTCGTGGAGCTGCCATCTAGCTGCTTCCATCTCAGCAGACCAGTGGAATTCTAACTGTCCTTTCTTACGACCCCCACAAAGTAAATTTTTTTCGATCACATGTTCATTTTTTTTTTTTTTTTTTTGTAAACAGTCTTACTCAAGCTAAGGTTGAGAAAGCCAAAATTGGTGCTTCTCCCTAGGTTAAAAACCAGCGAGGCGCCCTGCAGCCTGCCAGCCTTTGCCCATAGAGGCTGGGTGGCTGTTGAGCTGTTTTCCGGGCAGGCTGCAGTTCTAGCCTCAGGCAGAAGCCTCTGGCTCCTGGACTGGACCCCACAAGGCCACCTCCCTGTCCCTGCACCTGCTCCGGCCTCTGAGGCCAGGGGCAGCCCACTGGCCGCCCACTCTCCCGCCAACCTTACCAGGCCACTGTGAAGAAACATAAAACATCTAAAACGCTACTGAGTCTGCGACCGGGGCACCTGGCCCGTTCTGCTCAAACCCGGGGCCCTTGCTGGATGCTGGGCCTCTCCCTGGCGGGGTGGATACTGCAAGTTGGCCGACGGTGGCTCAGATCTCTGACTCCCGTCTGTAGGGCCGCTGATCGAGGCCTCCACAACCACCGGCCTGGGGTCTGTCAAAGTCATGCCGGACCTGGGGGCTGCGGCCATCCTGGTCTCCATCTGCCTCATCCTCCTCATCGCGGCTCAGGAAGGCCAGCTCATTCTCGTAACAGAAGGAGTTGGCACTGGGGAGCAGGAATTTGTTCTCCGCCAGGTCCTTGGCGCTGCAGCGGGGTGTGGAGGGCACCTCGTAGGTCTTATGGAAGTGGGAGTAGTCGATCTTGTACTGGTTCTTCTCCTCAAAGAGCACAGGCTCGAAGCGGTGGCCCCACAGGATCTCGTTGGCAAGGTAGGAACTGCGGGCCTGCGTGGTCATGGCCGTGGCCTCCACCATGCCCTCCAGGATGACCACGATCTCGAAGTCATCCGTCTCCAGGTCCTGCCGGCTGATACCAAACAGTGGGCTGGCCTCGTCGATCTCATGCAGGATGGTGATGGGTGACACGAGGAAGATGCGGTCGAGGCCCTTGTCAAAGCCAACGTCAATGTCGATCTGGTCCAGCGGGATGTACTCGCCCTCCTCCGTGACCCTTGGCTTGATGAGCTGGGCCCGCACGTGGGCCTCCACGATGTGGCTTTTACGCAGGTTGCCCACACGCCACATGAGGCAGAGCTTGCCGTCGCGCAGGGCCACCACGGCATTGTGACTGAACAGCAGTGTCTGCGCCCGCTTCTTGGGCCGTGCCATCTTGGCCATGATGGCGCCGATCATGAAGGAGTCGATGATGCAGCCCACGATGGACTGTGCCACCACCATGAAGACGGCCACAGGGCACTCCTCCGTCACACAGCGTAGCCCATACCCGATGGTGGTCTGAGTCTCGATGGAGAAGAGAAAGGCTGCCATGAAGCCGTGTACCTGCATCACGCAGGGTGTGCGGCCGCGGCCCTCGGCTGGCTCCAGGTCGCCGTGGGCCACGGCGATGACCCAGAAGATGACACCAAACAGCAGCCAGGAGGCGAGGAAGGCCAGTGAGAAGATGAGCAGCATGTAGCGCCAGCGGATGTCCACGCACGTGGTGAACATGTCGGCCAGGTAGCGCTGCGACTTCTCATCCATGTTGGCGAACTCAATGTTGCACTGGCCGTTCTTCTTGACGAAGCGGTTTCGGCACCTGCGCCGCGTGTGCACCTTGCCGTTGCCGAAGCCGTTGGCACCTGACATGGTGACCAGGTGCAGCCCGTCCTCCTCTGATGACACGATACTGTAGGGGTTGGCCCTGCCGGCTGAGGTCATCCCGGGAATGGGGGTGGGGGGGCCCTGGCTCGCCCCCAGGCCGGCTCCGGGTGGGGTGGCTCCTGCAATGGGAAGACAGCACGGTTGGCAGAACAGGCCACACCGGCCCCTGCTTCCACCCCTACCCAGATCCTCACACTGGCTGGCAGACGTTGTCGCCTTAAGTCACCCACCGTTTTCCCTCCTAACCAGCTCCTTATCTTCCTCGGCTTGGAAAAGTGACACTCCGTTCTCCCAGGAGCTCTGGCCATCAACTTTGGATTCATCATCACCTCATCTCAGTCCCACCCCAAAGGCTCTGCTTTCAAAATATATTTAGGATCCTACCTCTTCTCCCATCGTTGTGGCCTGAGTCCTCATTGTCACCCACCTGGCCCAGCACGGCGGCCACCTCGCCAACCTTGGTGCTCCTGCCCCAACCTCAGTCCAGAGGCAGCCGCGGGGGGCGCCCGTCTGTCCTCTGCTCAAAGCCAGAGTCCCTGTGGGCACTCGCAAAGCCTGTGTGAGCAAATCCCGGGACCTCTTGGGCCTCACCTCCCGCGTCCGCTTTGCTCACCCTGCTGCAGCCCACAGCTGCCCTGTTCTTCCTTGAGCCTGTCCTGGACATTCCTCCCAGACATCCTCCCACCACCTCACCTCCTTCGGTCCTTGGCGTCAATGCCACAGGAGCATCTCCAGAGGGCTTCCTGCACCCTCGGGAGACCTCGCCCAGGTCCTCACTGTAAGCCCAAAGCACCGACTTCGGGTCTAATAATGGTGGTAGTAGCAATAGCAATGACATGCATGGTGCAGCCATTCCCACCATGAGATTCCTGGAGACCTGACCACGGTGAGTGTGCGGTTTGGCTCGCCGCTGTCTCATGCCCGGGGCCTAGAACACAGCCTGGCCCTGAGGACGCCCTCCCTATGCTCATGGGCTCTGCCCCGAGGCACCCGCTCTCAGCACCCATACTCCACACCATCTGTGTCCCCGGCAGTAGTGAGGAAGGGGTCCATGAGGTCAGTGCCCAGAGAGGCCACTGACTGACCCCAGCCCGGGGGTCTTCCCTACCCCTGCCTTTCTCAGCTCCAAATGACAGCACACAGGGAGCACTCAGAAGCATCACTCTCCTGGGCCCACTCAGGCGAACACTTGGCTGGCTTGTCGCAGACATGGATGCACGCACTCATGCACACCAAGTGGTCTCAGGGCGTGGCCCGCAGCACACTGCCTGTGGCCGGACAGACACTGCTCTTGTGGCCAATAGCACTCACTCAGCCCCCAGGCATACGGGCTGGTGGCTGCCCCTCCCCCAGTGCTCCACTGGCTCTGGGCTGGCCTGTCGGTGCCAGGCTGAGGCATCTGCCAGCCGGAGGCCACGATGCTGCCTGGCCCTGCAGGCACTAAGGCCATCTGGCCATTAGCATCGGGGCTGTAAGTGCTCAGGCTCCCAGCCTGGCTCAGTGGGGCTGGGCTGGAAGGAGGGGCAGAACCCTGGGCAGCCTGGCCGAGGCTCTGAGGAGTCAGGTGTATTCCTCCGCACTCATCCCTAATCCCCACCTGGCCACACCAGGAGGTCAGTGCTGGACAAGGCTGGGAGCCCTCAAATGCCCAGAAGACAATGAGGCCCCAGATAAGAAGGTCCCCAGACAGCCAGGCCAGAAGCAGAGAGGCAGGTGGCCGGGCACCCACCAGAGACCCGGAAATAGGAAGTGACACAGCCAGGAGGTGGCAACACTGGCATTCAGCCCCAGTCTGTGTGACCAAGGTCAGCCAGACTCTTGCGGGGAGCATGACATCTGACCTCTGCTTCAAAGCCCTGGGAGACAGGTGCGGGAGGTGCTCACATGACCTGCCAGGCTGCACACCCGTCTTGGGGTGTGTCGCAGAGGTCAGGTGCTTCTGGATCCCTGAGGCTGACACGTGTATGACAGTCTTGTCTCTCACTGCCTCACGCCACAGAGATAGCAGGCCAGGCTAATCAGCAAATGGTCTTAGGTCATCCTCTCACAAACTCAAGAAGATGGCTACTAGCATTACTTTTACTTGGAATGGAGATTCAGAGAGGTTAAGTGACTTCCCCATAGCCACACAGCCAAAAAGCAAGAGAGGTGATTAGGCTCTGTCTAACGCAAGGTCTCATTCCATGGAGGACTCTAGGCTCCACGGGGGCCTCTTGTCACACCGTCAGCCTCCCCTCATAGCCGCTGCAGCTGACCACCTCACCATGGGTCTGAGGAGCTGGGGCCTGAGGCTGAAATGGTGGATGCTGCTTCCGCCCAGCCCAGGAGGCAGGGAGCCGGTGACTGTGGGCATCCCGGGGACTACGCCGAGAAGATGGCTCAGTCCCAGGTTCCTGGACCCTCCAGGCAGAGGTGGCCAGGCTCGGGGTACTTAGATGCTGGCAGGAGGCCACCAGATCGCAGGGGGCAGGTTTAGGTGGCCTGGAGGCCTAGAGGGATGTCCAACGGGTCATGGCTGTTTCAACTGGGGCTCTGAGTGGCTCAAGGCCTGCAAGGGACAGAATCGGAAGAATCAAAGGCCAGAGAGCCCAGCCTGGCACGCTGCCCCACCAGCCAGGCAGCCTCACACTGGCCAGCAGTGTCCAGGCAGGGGAGGGTGCCGCAGTGCACTTGGGACCCACCCAGTGTGTCACACAGGCTTGGGAACCCCCTCTTCTATTGCTGTTCCTCCTAAAACCACACAGATAAAATCAACGAGGTCATGTTCACACCCTGCTCCCCTGTTTCTCAGCTGGAAACAGACTCTGAGCAAAGTCACTCAGAAACTAAGGATTAGAGATAGAGTTAGAGCTGCAGGTTTTCAGTCCAGTCCTCAGCTTCCCACAGCCCCATTCTGCTGGGTGTGTATGCGAGTGGGTCCATGTGTGTGTGTATGCATGCGGGTGTGTATATGCATGTGTGTATATGCATGTGTGTGTGTATATGCACCATGTATGCATGTGTGTGTATATGCACATGTGTGTGTGTGTATGTGGGTGTGTCTGATGCTAGGGGTGTGGGGAGTTCCTCCCAGGCTCTTGGTGGATACAGCACTGCAAAGAAAGACCCAGAAGACGACCCATGAATAGAAAACTCAGCACCACGAGCTTGCCAAACCTCCCAAGGACACTCCATGCAGACAAACACAGGTGTGGCAAGAAGGTCACGCAGTCTATGGTCTTTAAAGACTTGCTTTCAGAACTGTGGGACACTATCCTCAACCAAGGATATGCAGGCCTGTTTGGCTCTTGCTCAATGGATGCTGATAGTTAGACCAGATAAGAAATGGAATTAGACTTGGTTTGCTGGAAGAGGCCTTAGCAAGCAAAGAGGCCAGCTCCCCATTTCCCAGATTCAAGAGCTGAGGCTGAGCCTTGTCCTAGCACACAAAGTCACTCGTGGGTTTAGATGAGGCAGTAGGGACAACAGTTGGGACTGCTCTGGGCAGACACCCAGCTTGGCCAATGGGGATCCCAGGCGAGGGGGACAGGAGAGAGGCAATGGCTGTGCTACCTGAGCGAGATGAGGTGACTTCAGCACCGCAGGCAGGGAGTGAGGCAAGTCCAGCAGGCACAGAAGAAGCAGTGGACAGCACTGGCCCAGATACCTCTGAGAGATGGGGAAGCTGTCCCCAACTCTGTTGTCTCCTGAGCCCACTTCCCTGCTGGGCACAGCGTCTGCAGACACAGGCTCCAGGCCACCAGGCTGTTCAGAAGGTGACAGGGCATGGGCTGGGAGCTTTTAGAGAGACAGCTACCACATGACCCAAAGGTGGGGCCCAAAAGTCACCGGGAGGTGCCTCCGGATGGAGTAGGACACTCCATGCCCAGTCCCCTGAGGCTCTGGGCACCTCAGGTTTCGGTGACATCCGGGAGGGGAAGAGGGCAAGGCCTGGGCCCGCATTCTCAGATGTCAAGACAGCACTAACTAACTACAAGAGCCAATGGAGGGAGCCCAGAGTGGGCGGGACTCAAAGTCCTCCCCCTCGGGCCTCCCAGCTGGCCAGAGCACCTTCAGAGGCGGGAGCACAATGATCAATACATCCTGAGTGCTCACTACATGCCAGGGCGGGTTCTGAGAGCTCGAATTATGTCACTTAATCCCTATAACAACGTTATGACTATTATCCCCATTTTCCACATGAAGAAACTGAAGCTCAGAAAGACCAAGTCACTTGCCCAGCCTCACACTGCATTTAAGCGGCAAGCTCCCTTTCCACACCGTAGGGGAGAAACCAGTGTGCCATCCCACCAGGACTGAGGTCAGACTCCAGGCATGACACTGATTTCTTGTCTAAGTTCTCAAGGCCCTTGTCACAACATGTGCTGAGAAGACATACAAATCCCAGATCTTGGCACCAAGAGTGAACATGCTGGCGCACGCAGGGGCCAATGAGGAGGCTGAGGTTGGCTTGGACAGAGCCAAGAGTTTGCGCGGAGGGGAGATGGAGTGTTGGGGACACCATTTACGTTCTCATAATGGGGAAGTAGAAGACAATGTCCTTTGACCTTTCCAGGCCGCATTCCCTTCCTCTCCCCCAAAGCACAGACAGCCTTTGCCCACAGTGCATACCATGGCCTGCAAGCATTTGGGGTCAACGCAAAGTGCAGGTGTTCGGTGGCAAGCCCATGCTGGGCCCAAGGAGAGAAACAGTGACGACACACCAGTATGATGCTGGAGATGACTGGTGCTCCCTCCATCCCCCAGGCCTCACCTCACACTGCAGGGCCCACCTGCCCAATTTCCAAACGCTAAAGCTCGTCTCTGTGCCCGCAAGCTCTCTCTGGCCACGGGCACACGCTCTGCTCATGCATTGGGCCGGTGAGGGAACTAACACTCCCAGAGCAGCCTTCCCCGAGGGGGCGGCTCCCTGCCCCTGACCAACCTGCTCCGGTGCCTGCTCTGTGCTGCCTCCCCAGACCCGATCTGCCCCTCCTGGGTGCTCCACAGCACCTCCTCGTCTCCCAAACCTCCTCCCTCCTCCTATTCCCTTCACCCCTCTTCCTCCTTCCTTTTCTTCCCCCTCCCCCACATCCCCTCCTCCCCCTCCTCCTGCCCTTCCTTTCCCTCCTCTTCATCC